TCAAACTTCATGACGTTTAGATCAAAGTTTGCCAAATTCGGAAAAAGGTGTTTGTTAATATATTTAGGAATAGGTTTTCCCGCCTGGGTTTTCCCGCCCCTTTCCTATTTCGCGATGCTACGCCACTTTGGTGGTGGCTTAACAACTGTGACACGCGACAGATTCACCACAATTATTCAAGCGTCACAATTATTCAAATGTCCTCCATTGGCAGAGCCCAGAGCCAGCATCGAGCAGTGTTGGAGACTGAACGGCCTCTTAGGACTGACGATCAGGTGCCCGATTGAAGGGCACGAAGTGCTTCTTAAATTGATTGGGGGAGGGGGGGGCGGATTCGTGGAAGTCGTCATAGCGGAACACATCCAAAAGGTTCTCGGATTTTGCGCCTTATGCTCTGCCTACCCACCATATATATATATATATATATATATATATATATATATATATATATATATATATATATATATATATATATATATATATATGTATATATATGTATATATATATATGTATATATATATATATGTATATATATATATGTATATATATATGTATATGTATATGTATATATATATATGTGTATATATATATATAACACTAATTTTTAAAGACCATTTGCGTAGACACAGCAATTATACGTGGAAACGCTTTCGACTGCATCGCCTTTTTATAAACGCACCTGATTTGGTGAAGCTGAAGAGGTGCAGTGGCAGCTCTCTCTTGCATACTGAAAAATCAAATTGGTGCAACATCCACCAATGTGTGCTGAGATAATTTGTTATGTGCTCATTCATGCGTTCACACGAATAGAGTGTCGCGTGTCCACTGTCTATATAGCTATCACGGCCCAGTTATACGCGGGTTCTCGACGCACCAAAATTTCATAAGACATATGCATGTCAGTGAATATTTTTGTTAACGCGCCGGGTGGCCTGTTGAATGCCCTTCGCTGGGGTGCGGTCAGTTTAACCGCCTGAGATCTCAAAAACCAAGATAGCTTAAGACACCATATTTGCAGAATGGATTTAGCTGTACGGGAACTCACTTGTGTCAAAATTTGATGCTCCTAAGTTTTAAACTTGCGGTCAAATGAGGTTTAACAAAGTCAGACTCCAGGTTGGTGTCTCAAGCAGTCCCAGGTCACCGATAAGCTAGATGCCTGTTCTAAACAAAATTCCACTGAAGTCAGTGACATTGTTTGGCCTTTATAAGGTCAGGGTGACTAACCATCTGTGAGATTCCCCCTACTTTGCTGTTCGAATAAGCATCAGGGGTGGTTACGCTTCGTGTTATGTTTTTGAAAGCAAAATGTTGACCCGAGGATTTTTAGTCATTTTAGGTCGTCTGGACTATGACCTTTAAAAAGTTCATGGAATATGTCTGTTGCGGTCCCTGCCATTAATACCGAAATGAGCACCAGAGACTACCTCATGAAGCCAAGTTCTGGAGTAAAAAAGCTAGTTTGTTTTGAACTCGGTCTATCCTTTATTCCTGACCCTCGGTAAATGGAACTGGTAGCAATTATACTTTCAATTGGTTTATTGTCTAAAAAACTATCTCAGATATGTATGGCTTCGTCTAACGCTCCGTTCTTGCATCACATTGAGCGCTTCCCTGGAAATGCCCTTTGCTGACAGCCATGGCCTGCCTTTGGCCTTCCATAGGTCAGCGCCCTTACAATGTAAATCTAATTTTTGTATGCAAAATCCACCATTAAACTATCTACAGCTATGCAAGGTTTGACGTGCGCCGTCTGGAAATAATTCTGGGAAAAACCTTCGGGGTTGTCAATTTGAACTCCACCCGCCCGAACGCGTGTTAAGAATTCATCTTAATTATCGTTAACGCCAATTTCACGCATAATTTAAGTTTATTCAAGCTTTCCCCAAATGCTCTTTGGCAGATGCCGTTCTGTTGAGAATTCCTTTTCCCGCTCTTTTCGATATACACGAATTGTGAACCAGGGGTACGTCTGGGGGACACTGGGGAACACACAGAAGCTGTGCCGGAATTTTTTTATTGGATGTACAAGGACATCGTAAACGTAGATTTTAGATCAAATGGGGTCGTGAATTTGCATTCGCATCAACTTATTTTGGCCTCAAATGATCACTTTTGTTCATAATTGGGTAGTGAAAAATTACATCTCACGTTCTGGCCATGCGCACTCGAAAGTCTTATAACAAAAACCCCGGCGCCCGGCTTTTAATCTCCGAGGGCCGCGGCCCGCATGTCCTGCGTCTTACACTAGGCGGTGGGCAGCGGGCGGATGAAAACGACAACGTTTCCGAAGAAAGTACCTTTAAACGCTTTAGGGTGCCAATGGGAACATTTAGGAAGCGTTGTCGGAGTATGCTTCACCTATACAATTTTAGGATTTATGATACATACGGAATAACATGTACGACACCGCGAGCCGGTGCGAGAATGTGATGGTAGAACTAGGCAAGTAAGGTTACAATCATCTTTTTAAGGCTACCATCACCTTTTCAGTTCGGACCAGCATGTCATCATGGAAAATAACTCCGCTTGCACGGCGCTTTTATCGATTTCCGATCAGGTGTTATGAGGCATGGACCGATCAGAAGTAACACTTCTGACTTTGGACGACTTGGGGCGCTGTTTGGACGTGTTCGTTATCAACAATGAGTGGGCCACTCATTGTTGATAACGTAGCTGTGGCAGCTCCAAATACCTACAGACTGGGTCCAGAGCTACTTGTAGGGGCACACGAAGCGTGCTATGATGGATCAGACGATATCAGAACCAAAAAGGATCACCATTCGCACATTTCAAAGGTCATGTCTTGGGTCATTGCTGTAAAACGTCTCCAGCAAGGACATCGCGCGCTTCATCCCATCGCACATAAGCAGTTCCCGTATCACTATAGTCAGGCACCCTGGCGACAGCCAGCTGAACAAAGAAGACCCTCGGGTCAAATGAGCATAGATGCGGTAGTCATTTGAGTCATTGTTAGAAGCAGCGTGCATGTAGCTTTTGCAGCATGGGATGATGGTAAATGGCACTAAAACTGATACGTCATTGTTTGGCGACTGTCGATGGCTTACCCAAACCTGAGAGTATCCGTCCATGGTGCTCATTGACTACGTGTTACAGTGTTCAGCAGAAACTGTGCGAAACCTAGGAATCGTGATGGACCCATATCCGTCATACAGCTGTCACATTGATCAGGCGACAAAAAACATTTGACAACATTGAATGCCAACAAACATGGACATGTTAATAGGCATGTTAAGCCTCAACCTTCTTCACTGCAGAAAGTCTTCAACTTCGCTACCAGGACCATCTCAGGTCGACAAAAATGTGATCGCGTATCGAGCCGGACGAGACGATATCCGCCAGAGGCAGCTGCCGCACCTGCGGCGCTGGCGGCGGGCCGCCGCGGAGTCACCGCACCGTCTCTCTCACACACCGAAGCGCTTAAAGATGAGCTCCTTGCCCTTCGGCATGAAACCCTCGACATCATCGCCAGTCTCGCTCGTCACGTCACCCAGCTTCTGCACGAAGCCAGGGCCGGCGGCAGCAGCGGAGGCGGGAGAGCCCGCCTGGCCTGCGGGCATAGTGGTCCCGGCAGAGCCCGCGTCGGGCGCCGCGTCTTCTGCCGCGCCCTCGCCCGGCGCGCCTGCGCTCAGTCCGCCTGCGGGCCCCGGAGCCACCAGGCACTCTGGTTAATTCGTAGAAACCACGTTCCACTGTACCTATCACGTGATTATGGATTGAACGTCGGATTGATTATGCCTAGCCATCTAGCGGCAGTACTCAAAACTATTGTTGAATGTCTTGATCGCTGGATGCTGTGAACATTGGATGTTACGACTTTGGGCGTCGCGCTTAGCTGCCGTGAACGCCCGCAATGGGTACGGCATTGGACGCATTTTAGATGTTATGAACGCTTGGTGTCGCAATATTGGATGCTATGAACTGATGCTATTCTGGATACTGCGATCCTGGACGGTTTGATGGCTACCCGCTGCAGTTCGCACCACTGGCACTGAATAAGGTCTCACAATTGTTATGTTATCGTCCAGGCCAAATCACAATAAGATCATACACCTAGGCGCTTCCTCCGAATGCGGTAATGTCTGATAGTGTTTTTTTAAGATTTCTGTATTGATTGACCTCCAGCGTACTCGGCCACGGTGCTCAAGGATTATCTTGCTCATAACGAGGGCAAATTTCACGCGGTCGCGTCTTTTCTGTTGGGAACACGTAGCTTTATTTTTTCCGGCATTGTGATGTTAGTTGTCACCGGTTAAGTGAAGAAACTTGTCACCGAAGGAATAGCCTACGGCTAACGGGCTACGGAATTATGATTTTCCGTGAAGTCCCAGGTTGTCACGGATGCACAACTGATTGCATGACGTATTAGCCATTTCCGTTCCGATGAATAGTACAATTTATCCCTAGGGGAGCTTTGCTCGCAATCGTGCAGTACATGCTGCAATCGATGCCATCAATGATAAAAATAACTATCGGAATAACTTTGTTGCAAGCCTTCAATGCCCTTTTCATTGCTGTCAATATCAATAGCTTGATCAATATATCTCTAGAGATAACATTTTGAAAAACCCAAAAGGCTAGACACAGTCCCTTTAAATCCCCCCTTCCTAATTGACGCCAGCCTGCCTGTAACGTGATGGCCAGTGATTCGGGGGCTCAGAAAAAAGATACCTTCCCGCGCTAGGGGTGTCACTGTGCGCGTTTAATAACGAGGGTTGACGGCTGTTAGTTGTCAATACAGCAGACTTGGCCAATTTAGACTTACGTTTTATTCGTTCAGAGAAAACTCCTCTCTCAATGCTTGCGGACCTGCAGCGCTCACGGTTTGCAAAGTTGCGATACCAGTTAAAATGTTTTAAACATTTTCGGCGTCAACTGATGGTCACCTCAGTACGCATGGTCAACTTTGCATTCGAAATAATCGCGTAGCTACAAAAAAAAACACCATAGTGATATTAGGTGTATATTTTGAGCAATGTTTTAGTACAAACCAAACCTTCAGAGTAGGCCGCAAGTGCCCACGAGTAAGTGGTAAAAACGAGGTTCTACCATTACATTTGTATCAGCAAGTACGCACCTTGAGCTTTCATCAACGCTCAGACTCGCGGGTAGGAGGCCTCGGTGGCGATACCGCACTGGTTGCTACCGTTGCGGGTCATCATGATATAGCCTCCCTGTCCCCAGCCAGCCCCCCAAGAGTTTTTGACGAGCCAGTAGCCGCTGCCGTAGCCGACGACCAGCACGCCGTGGTCCAGTTGGGAGCTCGAGCAGCTTGTCTCGCTATAGATGCCGCTCGAGTAGAGCTGGAACGACTGGTGGGAGGCGTCGATCGCCACCGAGATGGGGCCCACGTTGCCGGCGGCATCCAACAAGGAGCTCTCGCTGCCAGACGGGATGTCCACCCAGGAGGAGAGCAGAGCCACATTGGTGCCGTAGTCTTGGCACGTGCCGTCTTTGGCGGTGTAGGGGTAAGAATCCTCCGACTCGATTCCGCCGTGCGCCTGGATGTACCTGCGAACGGTGGCATACTTACGAACAGCCAGTCCCACGTAAGGACGTTCTTACCGCAACTACGATGCACGACTTCGACGTAAGTGCAGTGACCAAATTGAAATGAGTGAAGTTCGGTTGGAATGGTAATGGGTATTACAAGTTGATCGGTATTTCCGCGACACTCTTTTTACTGAACCAATACTAACTATTGCATCATAATAAACAGAATGTCGATGGGTTTAATACCATTAGCCATGCTATTTCGACGCCCTCATTATCCTCGCCTGGGATCCATTGTAAGAGCAATGCCGTCATCACCACATTTAAGCTATTTTTCAGAAGCGCGGGGCATTTAAGAGGCCAGTCAAATAACAAGGTATGCTCATATACAGTGAGGTCCATGGAGATTGGGCTTTCGGCAGTCATCCCGATTCTATATATAAAGTTTATATATTATATGTGTATATATATATATATATATATATATATATATATACATACGTATAAATAGTTCGCATTAATTTTTTATGAATCAAGCAAGATGTGCAGCAATTTTGACAACACAGTTCGATAATATGTTGTACTGATTGCGGTTAAGCTTCGGTGTCGTTCATACTAATTGCAAAATGCATCACCAGGTAGCTCATGAAATTTGCCTGAACTGGTACGCTCAACCATAGTAGTATTTCAATGTCTTTTTCAACATTTCAGAATAATTTGATATATGGCAAACAATTTATATAAACACGTGCTCCTTGGGTTTCGGGAGGCTGTGATGCCAGTTTAACGAATCAAACTACACATGATACATAGATATCCTCCTCAACATAGCCGTTTACCAAATCATGACGCGTAGAAAATTGTCTTCCTTTGGCACGTTACGATTGTTTGTACCTACCAAAATACGGAGTTCGCATTTCAGTTCAACCATCATTGCAGCTCCGGCCATTCTTCTCAGTTATCAACTAAATGACAGCTTTTTATAGCTTTCAAAGGGCTTAGCGTAAATAGTTACCCGATCCTCTGATGATCAAATCCTTTTACCCCACACACATTGTTGACCAAAGATATGTGATTACCTTTGGAATAAAATCAGCTGAACGATGACGATGCAACTTCGAAGCTAACCTGTAACGATATTGTACTCTGGCGAGGTGATGGACGCTCAGTTTTACGTACCGGAAGGCCAAATCCATGAGTCCTCCGTTGCATCCCTGATTTCCGTAAGTGTGGGAGCAGTCAACCAACTGCTGCTCGCTTTGAGGGAGCATGAATTTGCCGGCTCTCGCCCAGGCGCCCTCCAAGCCGCCGGTAGCCGAGAACGCCCAGCACGAGCCGCACTGGCCCTGGTCCTTGACCCCGGTCACCACGCCGTACTGGCGCCAGTCCATGCTGCTGGGAGCCTGCTTGCCGGTCGGCTGGTGGGTCTCGTGGGGCTGGCTGCTGCCCCTGATGAGGCCCTTGTATGTGCGGCTCCACTCCTCGGTGGTCAGGTCAGCAAACTTGTTGAGGGCCACCGTGAAGGTGTGCTTTCCCTCGGCATACTCCTTCATGTGCTTGTCGACGTACGCCTTGTTGTCGGCATAAATCTGCGAAAGGAAGCAAGTTTGTTTGCGTGATCGTACAACTTGCAACGCACAAGCGCGTAGCTTGTTACGACAAGGACACAGTCGAAGTGACTCAGAGTCGGACAGACCCAATCGGCTACACGATTAAAACAACACTCGTACACTCTGCGCAGGAGGTGACGGTATGATACCATATTTTTTCACGTGACAGCTTGGCGCGTCAACTCGGCAATGGCAACGCGTTCATAGTACTGTTAAATGGCACGTGCCATGGGTTTACTGATTTCTAGAGAACTGATGAACAACTCATTGGAAGAATGATGCACCGCGACGATGTTTGTAAAAGAGCAGCCCGAACATCGATTGCCGTTTCTATGCAGCTCCTCCTCCTCTTGTGCACGAAGTACATGCACGGCAATTCTTCAACTTCTGTGCGATGCCTCAGTGGAATACCAAACACGTTGCCCACGAGAAGCCTTGCATTACGGCGCGTTGAGGCATGCCCATTTGCAGTTGATGCACCTTAAAACTCCACACTACGGTCAAATGCAGGAGCGGTTGAGGCAGTATCGGGCGCAGTTAGACCCCGAGTGACATGCATCTAGAGGATAATGACTACTTTGAAATGTAACACTGTGTTTTGAAAGTGTGCCTAATTGCACATCCCTCATTTTCCCCCTAATCCTATGAGACGGCTTGAAGGAAACCCTAGAAGTGGGCGCATACGAAATAAGTGTTGGTGTTGGCTGTACACGTGTCCGCATCTATTTTGCCTATTTTGTAGCGCCTTTAGTAACATTGCTGCAACTTTACTACACCATTGGGCTTGCCTTGCGCATCTGCAAACAGTGATAGTTATGAAGCAGTGTTCATGAGAATGGGAGCATTGCATGGAGGAACTGGGCACTATGGTGGCCTCAAAGCGACGACTTACTAATGCGTAGTTCATCGTTAAGCATGCGGTTGGAAAATGAACGCGTTACCTTCATCCTGTAGAACTCCTCGATAGGGTTGGCGTAGGCCTTGCCGTGTTCCTGCTTGAAGGCGTTCCATTCGGACTTCTCCACAAAGGAGGACGCCGCCCCAACGAGCAGCACGAGCACAGCGGCGCGCATGGTGATGTATAGCCTGCAGGACAAAACCGTTTTATCACTTTGGCTTCACATTCGCACTAGTAAAATACTGCCCTCTTTGAGCCACATTTTGAACCATAATACCGCGAACTTGAACGATGTTACGAGCGTCATGCCAAAAGGTACTTACCTAGCGCTGGACCCTCGCTAAAAACAACGCATCGCAGACTTATGGTCGTGTGAAACGAAAACCCTTCGCGATAATAAATGTAACTCGTGAGTCAGGGGGGATGCGGCCGCTTGCTACACCTTAGCGTCAGAAACAATTACTTGGCAAGCCCACTACATGTCGAAGCTAACAGTGAGATTACAGCCGGTGCCAACCTCGGCAGCATGCTGTCGACCCGCGAGCGCCGGGGCTAAAGACAATTTCCTTGCAGAATTTGACAATTGCAAACTCCGTCGTAAAGGTTCATGAAATTTTCTATGCATGACATGTGCTTATTTTGACCCATTTATAGACAAAGTGAATCATTGTCCGATCACGTCACCAAGCTACGTCATCGGTGAAGGTTTGCATGTCAATTTGGCCCCACGTGGAGCTATTTGCAGCTTCCTTTCTTATTTTCCACCGCTGCGATGCAGTTCATCGACTGGTTTCCTTGCCTGTACACTAGCGGTTAGTCACACCACGAGTTCATATAGGTCATTATCGGAGGTCTTGCGAGATCATCTTGTGGGCGTCGGACAAAAATTACTTACTATTTTGCGTACAGGCCTTCACCGGTGAGGCTCCACTCAGTCCACCCGCTTCCCGGGAGACTGTGCCCATACCCACCTGCTAACGTTTCCTTCGATATCTCTACACGCCGGTGAAAGCTGCATATCCATTTTTGAAGCCATTCAGTATTATAATGTGGGAAGAGGCTCACGGAGGTTTAGACTAAAATCTTGCCATTCACGTTGATAATGACAAAAGCAGTGCGCAAAACTTGTTGTTACTCAAAGAAGCGTAAACAGCAACATTGAGTCCTATTTCTTGAACCATGTACCCGACATTTCATAACTTTGCTACCAAAACCCCCACAACTATGCTGGTAATTTTCGGAAAGGCTGCACCTAAACCATCTTCTCTCCCTTTCAGATGTGCACCCATGGATGCAAAATGGCGAGATGCCCATGATGTTCTCTAATCACTTCTGTATGCGATAAATTCATCCGAATGGCCGGCATAATTCCAAACCAGTGTCGATGATATGTATGGCACGCATGCAAAAGGATATAAAAATAGCCTCCATTTAAGTGGCCCGATGCTGACCCAGTGTGGTATTAGCATGACCTTGACTCCAGGCTTCGTCAGCATTTTGGAGTGATTCTGACGCACACCCCGCCTGAGACGCACTGAGAAACGATGATACTCACGCGTTTGATCTCGTTCACAACGGTATGTGATGTCACGGATGCTGAATGTGTGACTGATGACGTCCACGGTCATATTCATCATGCAAAATAAGCGGGTGAAATTGGCCAGGCCTGTCACGTTTGCTTCTTTCTTATCCAGCCATAAACTGTTAAGTGGGAATGTTTGAACATGCCCTCCCCTCCCCGATGTGGTCGCGAGACAAAATAGCCTGAGCTGCGCCAAAGGTTACGCCGTTTTTTTTTGTGTCATCATAGAGAACAAAATTGCTGAGGAATCGAAATGGTCCGGAGGACAACCTTTCCAGTGCTCTGGTGAATTAAGGCATTCCTCTTTCGATCAAAGTAATGTAGTCTAGGTAGGGTGCAGCTTCGCAAAATGAGTAAGGGGGGGGGGGGTCTTTGTAGCCACAAATGACCCAACCTACCCCAAAATAACCTGTGAACGCGGTTCTCATCGGCTTTGGCCTACTTCGTTCATAAATTTGGGGGGAGGGGGGTGGAACCCAAGTCGGGGGCCAGTCTTCCATCCGAATGGGAAATTGCGCCCTGAGCTCAGTTGCTGAAAAACATAAAATGCCATAAAATGCACAAGTTGCTATGAAAGCTTTTGAAGATGACAAAACGGCCTTGTTTAACATGTGATAACTGGTTTTCTCAGAGCATTGCGTGATAATTAGAAAAAACGACAATGCAACCCGCATCCAAACATCTACTCAAAGACAACAATTCGAGGTTGCGATTTCTGAAAGCATATGTTACTGGTGGTATGTAAAGAGTGAAAAATGAAATGTCTTGATTTGTACCTGTTATATCACGTTGCTACCACCAAAACATTTAATGCAAATTTTGCGCTATGTTTTTGCATAACTTTGAAAAGGACACAAACTCAAGAGGTACACAAGTGATGCACAGCTTAATTTGTAAATCCTGAGCAAAGGAATTCAAAAATTATCATGCTGTACTCTTGTCATTACAGAAAAATAAAAAGCGGTCTGCTGGACTGAGTCCTGTGTACTCATGTTAGTAAACAGAACTCTGTCTTCTGTTTTAGTACTGTTTTAGTTATTTTCTGTGTTAGCACACAAAAAATTGTGTTATCAAGAGTGCTCTAGATAACACGATTTCTCTGTTCATTAAGCATTCTCCTCAGTAAGTCATTGTTTGATAACGTCATCGTACCTTGCACAACATTGATAGCCAATGGACGGCCGCTGTATCTGAAAATTGTGCTCACAAACGCCAGATATAAATGACTGCCAACTACAATTTTATTGGCCTTGATCTTGCCACCCCATTGGCCAAACGTCGTCCATGTCCAAGAGCAATGAAATCGACAAGTCGTCCATATCTGGCGTTCGTGAATGCAATTTAGAGATATGAAGGACGTCATGCTATTTGCCCCTGACAAGTGCAGCTTGTGGCCGGTGGCAGCGGCCGTACCAACGTCAGCTGAAATCAGGGGACAGAACAGACCGTGCCGAGCATTGTCACGCTAAACGTTCGCCACCAAATTCCGCCGTTGCCCTGGAATTGCACGATCGGGTGGGGGAGGGGGGGGGGGGGGGGGGTCAGGGCTCACACAACAAGCACTGCTTAGCTTGAACTCTGGTCTCAGAAATCCATCCATTTGGAAGGTTCGGATATACATTCTTTTAATTGGCTCTGAAGCAATGTTGTGCAGACTGTGCAAGTTTCATTCACGAACCACGTGTTTTGCTACATGATGCAAGAAGCTGGACATCCTTACTAGCCATTAAAGAAATACGCCTTGCAATAGAACAATACCCCGCCTTACTGCATTATGGGTAGTGATAATTTGACCTCATCATGGGACTAAGTCATATGCCATCAACGCTATGGCGGTGCGAAAACGTTATTCTTTGCGGACTGGTTTAAACACAAATATTTCCATAAGCCGATTTGTTCGACCTCGCACATTTAACGAACCACTTTCAGCTGGGAAATGGTATTGGTTTGCACCAGAGCCATAAAATTATTGCTGAAATACGCTTGTGCTCTGCCCCCGACAGACAAATTGGTTACCCATTCAGCAGTGATTCATCCCGAAGAACTCTAGCTGGAAGTGCTTAGAAACAGTCTTTGTAAAAATGTACAACATGCAAAAAAAAACGACATGGGATGGAAATGAGATACGGCGGGCTAGACGGGCCTGCAGCGCCCTGGGTGACGTGTTGAGCAGTTGGTATGCACATCCTGTAGCTTAGGGGGAACGTTTTCAGGGTGGATGTGGATTTGTCTGCCCTTATGGCGGTAGTGAGTGATGAATGCCAGAGGCTTAAATACATCGCGCGCCATTTCAGTTCAAGATGGGTGAATTTTCCTGTATATGGGCCAATTTCTGGCAAGTTTTACTATTTCTGCCAGTTAAAGAGTAGAGGCCCCTATCTCAGCTCCGAAATAGTCTAACAAGGATATTTTAGGGCGCTGGGGGTTGAATGGAACACTAGGGGCACGTTACTATTCCCGTCCAAAGGATGAAGGCCATTCCGTCCCATGACAGGGTGTCTTCCGGGTGCCATTCTAGCGACACGGGGCGGGATCCTCTGCCCAATACAGAGACCCTAAGAGAGATACATCACATCACATTGGTCCTCTCCCTGAGGCGGGAGGCCTTCCGACACGCGCAGCTGATCCCGGATTAACACAGGAACCTCCATTGACGCAACAACATCCCTGATCGCCGCGGGTGGCGTGATTATTGTCTCCAGACTTCATTTCACATAGACTCAAGATCCAGCTTTTGTTCTCTGTCCTTCAGAAATTTCGAGGATCCCCTGAAATTAGATTGTAAATTGAAATGTGGTCCCGAATTGTTATTGACATGACTAAACCATGCTCGTCTTAAATATTCAGCATTCGGTCAGAACTGGTCGCTGATACAAATTTGAAGCTTTTTTTTTAAACATGCGCGTTGGCAAATCTTGACAACAGCATCGACGCCCAGCGTTGCATTTCCCATAGGTCGCGTGGCACCGGCTCTGCGGCTGTGACACTAAACGATCGCCAATGTGCAAACGAAAAAGGTGAGGCATCTTGAGGAAGATGGTTGGTAAACTAGGTGAATTGGCATGCGTGTTTAAGCTGGTACAAAGGTAAACCAAACGCAACTTAAATCTGAAAAGTGGGAGCGCCAGTTAACATTGCTGCCCCCCCCCCCCCCCCCCACCTTGAAAAGCGTGTGCTGGGGGAATGCCCCCTGCTCCCCCCCCCCCCCTCTGCTTCTACACCTATGCAGTGGGATATTTTGAACGATGGTCGGTTTAGCCCCGTCACCTTACCTGTCTAGTATGGCGATTACCGGTAGTAAGAATCGTATACCATGCACACCAATGAACATTGCAGCAATGGATATGTTTCGGCGGGAGAAGGCGTCAGTCCTCAGGCACACAAAGGCCGGAAAAGCTCCAAAACTGGTGAGAGAGCCAGCAAACCACCATCACCAGTGAAGACCAAGCGCGAGGGCGATCCAGTTTCATTTCCAATAAAACCTGTACGAGCGAGTATTAAGTATGTACGAGTATTAAGACCTGGAAGGTCAGTTCTTGACTTGGATCCAGGAAACGGGATGCTTTAATACACATTGAATGAGAACAACACACTGGTTTGC